TCATATATTTGTTTTAGCGTAAGTATCTGCAAAATAGGATCCTTTGATTCCTGGATCAGCAGATAACAAAGGTGCAGAGTAGGTGCTGCTGGAGTTTCGTCTGGACTGCTTTTCTTAAAACCTGGGCAGATGAACAATTTCAAGGTATTCGGGCCTTTGCTAGGTAAATGAACAAAGCAGTGAGTACATCCGTCTGGAAGCACAACCAGAGACACAGTTTTAAGCTTGACAGAGATGACATGGCAGGATCAGGGAAAGGAAAGGGAAAGACAGAGATTATGAAGTAAATGAAAAACTAAAGCCAAGAGTGAGAAAAGGTTCATGGGAAAAATGCTGATAGATGGTAAGACAAATGAAACTCTGACTCAGCTGGATCACTTGCCAGACTTGGGGGGCAGGCAATGCTCTGCCCATTTTCTGCATTCAGACCGCCTGAAGTGTAGCAGTGAGGCAGGAAGTCTCCGGCCAGACTCATAATGTGGACGGGCACTCAAAGGAAAACAAGGCATGATGCATCTCTCTGTTCTACTTGCGTGATACGCAAAATGATCTATCTGTGCATCCAACCTGTCTTGCAAGCTTTATTTTTCCCACGGCAGAATTTTCTCCCTTTGAGCATGTCACTAAATAGGCCAATCGCATGCCAGATATTTCACAGTTCCCCTGACAGCTTACAAAAATCTTAAGTAATGATAAAATTAGTGGGTAAAATCTTAAATAATGATAAAATTGGGATCAGATTCCCACCCAAAACACACTGCAGAAAGCAGGGGCTGAGTCAACACAAGAAGGAAAAGATTTAGCACTTGTGATCATTCAATGTGTTTTTGGTGGGTTTTTAAAAAAATCTACTCATTCCAATATGAAGAGAAGGCTTAGGTTTTTGGACCTCTTGAGAAATAGGATTTGAAGCATGATAAAGGAGAGCAGAAAAAGCAACAAGCCGAGAAGGCTAGGAAAAAAAAAAGAGAGAGTCTCTCTGCGGAGGGAGAGGAGGAGTCAGATATTCCAGTCTATTAAGGTATTTTAGAGCTCTCTCCACACCACCTTGGAGACTAAGGGGAACTACTGCCTACAGGGGCAAAGGACTCATTACGGGATGCCAGGAGGAGCATTCTAGGATTGTGTGAGACTTATGAACTGTTCAGAGGAAGGACCAAAGGCAGGGAAAGGAAAGGATCAAGATGGATCAGGGAAGACAAGCATGGAAAAAGAGAAAGAGAAAGAAGGGACTGGTTGAGTGTGAACAGATTGCTGGGCAGTATGCATACCTGGTCATGCCCTGCACTTGATCCACAGTCTGTCCTGTCTTGTTATTATACCCTATTTCTAACCATTTTCCTGGGTGAGGGTATTCCCTTTTCTCTATAGGTGCGTGTGTGTGAGAAGGCCTAATTGCCAGCAACTGGGGAACGGGCCATGGGTGGTAGGGATCTGTAAGTCTGGGGTGCCAGCAACTCAAGACACCGGATGGCATGCATATTGTATGTCAATGCTTATGTAGACAATGATGAGACTTGAACTTGAATCAGTAGTTGATGGAAGGCCTGTGTAGAAAGCTGGGGACCGGTTACGCCCTCTAATTCACCATCAGTTGATCCCCAGGTACACGTTGAGAGGGCAGCTCTCCTGTCTCTGCTCAGTCAGAGCTCCTCATGCCAACAGCCCAAAGCAATACATGTCACTAGTTTTCCCAAGGGGAACATGCAACATACCTCATGGAGGAAAAAGAATTGCCTTACCAGCCACAGGAATTCTTCCAGCCTTTACCCTCAAACATTCATGCTCAGTCATCCCTCTCTCAGCTTCAGAGACTTATTTAATTGTTGAATCAGTGTGAAGAAGACTACAATAGTTCAGGGCTTGCTTGGAGCTGTAAGCAGTATCCTTGCCACCTGTTTCTCATATGAAAGAGCTGTTTTGTGCTTATCAGTGCAGCTGTTCCCCATCACTGGGCAATCCCAGCTCTCACGTGGAACACTGTCATCCAGGGAATGCTTTGCAGCCCTTAAACACATCTCAGGATTTTCACCTGCACTTCTTTATTTGGATTTGCTAACTCTAACATGCAAGTATCTTACATATGTCTGTTTATCTAGGACTAATCTCCAAAACTAAGAAAGATTTAAAGCTAAAAGAGTGAGGATTATTTTCAGCAAGAGATGGGCTCCAGTTATGAGTTACAAAGGTGTAAATGAAGTTACAGATTTAGAATGCCCATGCCCATGCAACTTTCATCTAAATTGAACTGCTAAGCACATCTCTAATGTATAAATTTGGACAGAAGGACAAAGATGGGTCCAAGGAACCTGTACAAGGCTCAAGCAACATCTCCTTTTCTGCCTGTTGCCCCCAGTATGTGGCTTTACATTACAGGAAAACTGATGTGCTCATTCTAAACCCAGTTCAAGCTTGCCTCCCAAATGAAACCACACACTCTTATCGCTCCTCTTGCAATATATCTAATGATCACATAGACACAGGGGGAGTCAGTTCAGTTAAACATGACTTCCCCTTTATGAGTCCATGCTGATTACTCCTGATCACCTTCTTATCCTTCATATGCTTGGAGATTGCGCCCAGGATGAGCCGCTCCATCACCTTTCCAGGAATGCAGGGGAGGCTGACAGGCCTGTAGTTCCCTGGCTCCTCCTTCTTGCCCTTTTGGAAGACTGGGGTGACGTTTGCTTTCTTCCAGTCCTCGGGCACCTCTCCTGAGCTCCAGGACCTCTCAAGGCTCATCCTTGCTGAGGCACCCCTCAGCACTCCTGGGTGCATCCCATCGGGGCCCATGGATTTGTGGATGTCAAGTTTGCCTAAATGATCTCTAACCCGATCCTCCTCCACCAAGGGAAAGTGTTCCTTTCTCCAGACTTCCTCCCTCCTCTCCAGGATCTGGGATTCCTGAGGGCCAGTCTTAGCAGTAAAGACTGAGGCAAAGGCGGCATTCTTTGTCGCCGGGGCCCTCGCCCCATTCAGCAGCAGCACAACCGGTCCCCAGCTTTCTACATAGGCCTTCCATCAACTACTGATTCAACTTCAAGTCTCATCATTGTGTCTCAGGCTCTTGGTCTGGAAAAAGGATTACTAAAAAGATCACACAGAGTACTGAAGGGAGATCTGTGGCACGTCAATTAACTGCCCATTACGGAGGTGATGAGCACATGTGGAAAGACAGTATTTTTCCCCTGTAACTTTCAGGCTGTGGAATGAATTACACAGCAGCTGAGCTTGAGCAAAGCCTCACTGCCACCTTCTCCAGTCCCAGAAGCATTTTTGCGACTAGTAAAATTTCTCACGTTCATGTGCCAGAGACATGCAGCTCTGCTTACCTTACACCGCACACAACCACAACCGACACCATCACCATCACCACATTGACCAATATAAATATAATATACTGCATTACTGGTTTTAAAGTTTCATGATTTTTGCATGGAAAAAGGTAAGCAAGCAACATCACATGACATGCCTGTACACTGACATATTTGTTCAGTGAGCTTTACTCAGTATTTCCTGTGAGGACTACACAGTGCAACTTGACTACAATTCACCTTATAATGTTTCACATGAAGTTCCCTTTCCCAATCCTGTCTAACACATGCAATCATTTCACTGACTCAGTATCAATTAGGTATTACTCCACCTCTTCCACCACTGTCGCTCCCTTGGTAGAGGTAGGATTCATCTCACATCATTTCCTGCATCTACAGAGTATACATCTCCATTTGAAATAAACTCCCTGGGATCCGTTTACAATTAAGGTACAGAAACAGACACCTTGACTGCGTGATTCACACACACTTTCATCTTTCCTCAACTGGTTTATTGTAGCAGCCTTTTCCTTGGCTTCAAGAAATGCAGACTTGGCCTATTCATACTATATCCATTTGGCATGAATTCTAAACATAATTTCAGTTTCAGCACCTCAGTAATTTCTCCTACATCTTCCTCATATAGTGATGAAAATCTCTATAAACATTCACAAATTAATATTACAATTCTCTTTCAAATCACTCCTTAAAAGTATCCTCTGCTGTGTTAACTACAAGATTAAGCGGCTGATATGCAGACTCTTCCCTGCCACGCTAGCCAACATTATCTCGCTATCTCTAGTATTTCAGTGTGTACCAAGGCACAACCATCATCATCTCTTTTATTACTCAGATGCAATGGACTCGTACAGCACCTAGCACAATGTTCTCCTAATCTACCACTGAGGTTCTGGACGTACATTAGTACAAACAACAACAAAACCATAATAAAGCCAAGCTACAGGAACAAGTAGGTGCTGTCATTGCTGGAGACTTGCCAGCCAACTTCAGAACCCTGTCCAAATTTTCAGTTATGTCTCTGTCTGTGCTCCAGGGAGGAAGCACACTGGAGTTTAGTCTTTCTATGTCTTGCTGAACCCTCTAGCCACCTTTTTTACATGAAGTTGCCAATAACTCCAATCCCTGCTTTTTTTTGGTTTTAAATATAACATGGAAAATCCAGTCAGCTGTGACCTTAAAGCAGAGCAAAGGCAGTACGCAGCCTTTACCATGACTTCTCAAGAAAGGGAAAGA